ATCTTTCCTGCTGTCAAGTGATTAGATGTCACGGCTGTTGAGTCTGGTGTCACAATCCTGTCATTTCTCCAGGGAGCCTCTTAGCACAAACAAGGCAGAGAAGATCTGAACTCAAAACTGAGCTTAAAACCAAGCAAAGAAATGTTTAATGCACGTTTCAAGCCTTCTTTGTACATCAAAAAGCAGAAAAGAGGTCACAGGCTGTAATCTATGCTTTTTTTTTAATCTACGAAGGACAAGACAGAGCAGTTTCTATTTAATATTATGAAAACTAAGTTACTTCAGGCAGGCTGCGTACATCTTTCTTGTTAAGTATCATCATTCGTGATAACTATAATTGCGTCAAAAAGCAACATTGTAATTAATAAAATTTCCAGAAAATTAGTCAGATATGCCCTATACTTACAAAAGGCCCTGTAGTCATACAGGGTACCAAAGTGATATATCAAACATAGATACTTTAGGTTGATACAGAATCTCTTCTTCTGACTAGAAAACCAAGCAGAGCTCAAATTTCTCAGTGATCTACATGACAGTCTGGAAAAGCCATCATAGGACTCAGCTGAACTTTTTTTAATCCATTGTGATAAAACTTGACTTCCCTGAAATGGGGTACATTATATTTCAATGCACTATAGGCCAGATCTGAATACAGTCCAAGGCAATGTGAATCTATTGACTTGAGTCTTACCTTGCCTATCCAAGAAGGTGGACTCCTGCTGATTGCCATTAAATTCTCTATTCAGGTTCAACATCAGCATAAAAAAAGCTTAACTCTCCTTTATAAAAGGCTGTAATTGTGTCACAGTGAGTTTCATGTTGTAAACCATTAATAAAAGTGGTCTTAAATATTCTTATTTAGCTTCATGATATCAATCAGTGCTTTCCTGCATATTAGTTCTTTTGTAAAAGGAAATGATTAACTGTCCTCAGTCACTATGCAGTAATACATTCAGGGTATGGGTATCCCATTGCTAAGTAAAGAGGAAAGGTAAAATCTAATTAAAAGCAGCTGGGAGCTTTTAGGGCTGACAGTAACTCTAGCTTGAAGTAATTTTAAAATCACTGTTGCTTTGTTGTTGATGGAATGGCTTTTAAATCATATACAGGAATTTAGGGAGTATGTATAGAAAGGATTTATAAGATTCCCTTCCACCCTGACCCCCAATCTCTTTTTCTTTTTTTTTTTTTTGTCTTTATTCCTTTAGAAAAGGATCAATTTGAATGGCCAAAAAATCTGTATAATAAGCAGAAAATATACGAAACAGAGTTTATTCGTATGTCCCTTTTATTATCCTATCCTTCATTTCTTTGCTTCTCAGGACTGGCTATATACTTTACTGATAAAAGACAAAGGCAGAACATATACAATAAAGTGTAACAGAAATAATGAGACGTAAACAGTAGGAGACTGTCAAGGAAATATTCTTAAAAAGGAAAGGCCAAAGAAAATCAATGCTGTGGCTCAGGGAACAATCTTCTAGTACTTATACATATGTCCTAATGCAGATCTCATTCTGTAGTCATTAATTAACTTTTTCACTAACATATTTAAGCAGATTCAGTATCCTAGGGGTGTTCTAATTAATTAGTTTTTCACTCTGAATAATGTAGATTTTCTAAACGGAAGCCTGCTGACTAGATGTATTAATGGATTCTTTAAAATCTTTTGGCAGTTTTCTTATGTTCTACTTTGAATGTCACAACACTGAAGTGCTAGCTACAAAAAACACCCCGGTAACTTTTTAGAAAGACTTTGAGGCTGAAAGAATCAGCATTATCTTTTATCTTTTGTTACTTGAAGTTTAAATAATGCTCTCGCTCTCTCCCTAGTCAGCAAATAGTACAAAGCCAAATCAAGCTCAAGTTTATGAAAAGAAAAAAGAAAAAACAGCTAGATACAAATGAAATGCAGACACACAGTGATCCAAAATAAACAAATCCTGACACACATCATTACCAAAGCACACACAGTGGGAATTATAATGGCTAAAAAGGGAGCCGAAAACTAGAAGTAGAGAGTATCTGTTTTCATTGCAATGTTCCTATCTGAAAGAGAAGCAACTGAATATTTACTAATTTAACCTATTTATTTATTTCTCTCATTTAGCTATTTCTTTAGCTGCTTCGGTTCTGATTTAGAACTCTAGGCATTTACATCACATAAGATAGCTCAGTGTATCCCTCACCCCAGGTTTAAGATGTTTGTTTAAGGAACTGCTCCAACACTAAAACCAATCCTGCCAGTTTTACAATCACAAGATTGAGCACACTCGTCTTCAGCCTGCAGTACAAACCCTCCCCAAACACTTAAATATCCATTTCTGCAGAGCTCCAGGATCCCAAAAGGGCAGGCAATCTCCTTAGGTCCCAGACGTTGCCACCAGGCAATCAGTGCTGATCCTGCCAGGGACGTTGCCTTAAGGTGCTTAGGGCGTACAGAAACAGCAATAAAAACTCGGCTTATACTGGGCAATGAACCCAGTGGAAAAAAATAGTGCCAAATACCAGTTCTTCCCTCAAAAATATATGACTGAACGAAGCTTAGACATTGTTGTCTGTTCTTACATTCATGTCCTGATGGAACCTAACTAACATCAGATGGGAGCATTAGGGAGCGTTAAACACTTCACTGTACCTAAGTCCTGGCAACTAACATATTTTTCTGGCTGCTTTTTCTGGTTTATCACTGTTAAATCTTTTTAATATGTGGCTGGGTCTAAGCTGGCTCATCCTAGCCAAGGATCAGCTGAACCTGGGTTTTAGCCACACAGCCTCAAATTAGATAAGTGATAGTCTCAATAAGGGAGAGGAGAAGGAGAAGGAGAAGGAGAAAGTTATGTTATTGCTAAGCGTATTTCTGTGACTCCTTCTGATTTTCTGGTAAAATTTAAATATAGTGCTTTCACTTTGTGAAAATCTCCAATTGCCATCATACTCCTAAAAATAAATGGCAAGTGCAACAGTTTTTTTTCCACCGTTCAAAGTAAGATGCATCTAGATTTGAAAATGGCAGCCACTTGCCACTGACTGTGTAAGCAAGCCCTAAGCTAAAACAATTCAAAATAGATCACATATTTATTTACCCACCAGAAGGTATTTACCCTTCTCAAAGTTGATTAGAAGGCTTGTTATTGTATATGTGAAAAAAAGCACATGGTCTCTTCTATAACCACATCCAGCCCAGGATGTTCATTTTCCTCATCTTCTAAAAGATGATTTTTCCATCTATTTTCTGTGTGCTACTTTTCACCAGCTGTATTTGCTGTATCCCCATACCATTCTCATCATTTATTTTCTTTTCCCCTTTTCAGTTGTGTGTTGTATTTACTGTATTTACAGAAATGTCAGTGTCTCAAAATGTCTTCAAAAAGCCACAGTCACTTTGAATAATCATCTAGATAATATGATTCCATTAAATATTCAAGAGCTGAGCTGAATTTGGGGTAAAGTGTGAGTAGACAATTTCATTAGTTAAACTGTAATTTAACATGTTTTAACATATTAATCAAAAGAACCTAATTCTATCTGTGTACATTTCCCAAATTGAATGACTGCGTTCAAAGACAGTGAAGCTTCTGAGCTCAAATGCTATAGCAATTGTAATGCAGACATTTGAGAGAGTTTTGGGATTTGAGATCTAATGTTTTCAGTAACTCAAAAAGACTGGCAAAAAGTCTAAAGTATTTTGAACTGGGATACAAATGAGGGCAGAGATTTGTTTGAGCCACATGTGATTGGTGTTATTAAAATGTCCAGTTTTGCTAAATTAACAGCACAGGAATGTGAAGAAAACAGATGAATTTATAACTAAAATGATTAACAGATGACTTAAAGACTTTGGAACTAACAAAAAACCGTATCTTAGGCTAAGTACTACAGTATACTAATATCATTTTGTTACAAATATTTTATTTGCTTTTCTTGTAAGATGCTATACTGGTGTCTCAAAACTCCTTTCAGTATCACAACAAAACCACTAAGATGAAGTATTTAGTTTTAGACACATGGAAAGTCTGGCACAGACAGTTAACGAATCTTTCCCAATGCCTCTGAGTTTCACCCACAAGGTGATTTTTTTGTCTCTAACCCTAATAGCCTAAAACACAACACACTACAAACACCCAGAACCTTTTGCCTTCAACCTGAACACAGATTTTTATTTAAACCATCAAAATGAATTTTTGTTTTGCAAATGATGCTATTTCAGGTGTACAACACAGCTAACCCAGGGCTATGCACACTTGTCACTATAACCCATCCCATTCCCATTCCCATCTTGAGAGCTAATGCAGGGTAGGAGTTAAGCCAGACTTGGTATTTTTGCCCACTGTCTGCTAAATCATCTGGCTATTACTGTGTAACTGATACTAGCTTTTGGTTATGAAGGTTGAGGGGAATGAAAACGTTGTTCCCTAAAACATCTATAAGAGAATGAAGGCTGTAGGCAGAAAAATAACTGCATTTAGATGGAGTCTTGCATAATTCTAATCCTGTCAAAGGAGATAGATGAGAGTTTGTCCAATCATCTGGCTATTACTATGTAACTGATACTAGCTCTTGGTTATGAAGGTTGGGGGGAGTGAAAACGTTGTTCCCTAAAACATCTATAAGAGAATGAAGGCTGTAGGCAGAAAAATAACTGCAGCAACCTATCACTCATCATACACATAAACAAAATCTAGCCTGAATCTAGGAGAAAAGAGTAAGTATAGCATAACAGGAATGAGCAATATCACTACACTTTGAAAAATATGTTAATAATGTAGTTGGAATTGCCTCATGCCATATATAACAATGCACTGCAGCTAAGCAGTCCTTCAGAGTGGATAATTACTTCTCTGCTCAGTAATCTGTATTTATAAGCAATGGCCCTCCCCACTCCCTTTGATTTACAATTTCCTTATTTCTCCCCTCCACCCAAATTTCCAAGTAGCGTATCTGAAACCCTGCCAAACCTTCACATAAAACTGGGTGACATGTAGTTTTTCAGTAAGGCTCGTTTTGACAAGAAAGCACACCTTTGGTTTCTTACCTGTAATATGGTACCGAACCTGCCGGTTCATTTCGGACTTGTCTTCATCCCAAGTGCTAAGCACAGCCACAACCTCACCCGGCGGGTCGCTCTCCTTCACCGAACCTCTGTACACCTCATGCTCAAAGACGGGCGCGTTATCGTTTATGTCAGTCACGGTGACGGAGACCAAGGTGGTTGAGGACAAGGATAAAGTGTCCCCCAGATCTGAGGCCACGACCGCAAAAGTGAAAGCAGGATCCTTTTCATGGTCCAGATCCTTCAGGGTGCTGATCCAGCCACTGTTGCTGTCAATGGCAAAGGCTTCTGTGATCTTTTCCAGCTCCGATTCCACTGCCAGTGTATAGGTGACCTGCCCATTTGCACTTGCATCTGCATCAACTGCTTTAACCTGCATAAGCTTCGTTCCTATGGGCATCCCTTCCATTATTATAGCATCATAGCTAGCAGTTTCAAACATGGGCTTGTTGTCATTTACATCCAACACCTTAACCTCCACATCCACTGTTATTACAATGTCTACTTTGTCTAACCGAATGGTGGCTGCAACTTTGAAGTGAAAAGCCGAATTTGTCTCATGGTCAAGCCTCTTATCCAATTTTATGAGTCCTGTGTCTTGCTCTATGATGAAAATCCCATCTTTGTTGTTTTCAGTCAACTCTCCATTAACCGTGCTATACAACCATCAACTGCTTTAACAAAGAATGACAGAACTGTGTTTTTCAGCTGATTAAAGCTACCCTTAGTAACCATCCATCCATTGTCTGGATCTATTTCAAGCAGATCAGCTACTGAAACAGAAGCCTCACTATACAGTGAATAGGTAATTCTTGAATTGGCTCCATCGTCTGGATCCACAGCTTGCACCTGGGTCACCAAGTAACCCTTCCCAACATCTGCTTTGACACTTGCTCTGTATTCTACAGTCATAAACTGCGGAGCGTTGTCATTCTCATCCACTACTATCACTCTCACAGTACAAAATGTAGTCCTGCCACCTCCATCAAGGGCCCTCAGAAACACACCAATATCGCCTTCCAAGGGGTTCTCCCGATCCAGTCGCTCAGTTGTTAAAATCTGCCCATTGCTATCAATCAAAAATCGGTCCTTGGCAAAGTCATTTATTATGGAGTAGCTTACTTGGCCATATATACCTGAATCACCATCTGTGGCTTTCACGTGGATTACCTTAGTTCCAGGAGCAGCATTTTCTCTAACCTCAGCAACATAAACACTCTGTGTAAACACAGGGCTGTAGAGATTGGCTCCAAGGATCCGTATGTGCACCTGAGCCGTGCTGGTGAACAACCCATCTGAGACAGAGACATTTAAGCTATACATGGGTTCCATTCTCTGCTTCCGGTGATTGGAAAGGGTGATAACACCGCTCTTGCTGTCCATGATAAAACTGGTCCGATCATTTCCTGAGAGGATGCTGTACTCCAGCCTGTCAAAGTCAGAGCTGTCAGCATCAGAAGCTTGCACACAGGTCACAAAATGACCACGAGGTGCCAGTTCGCTTACATATGATTCATAAATTAACTGGTTAAAAACTGGAGGGTTGTCATTCATATCTGTTATTGAGATGCTAACAAGAACCTCACTGCTAAGTGGTGGGAAGCCATTATCAGTTGCTCTGACTTTCAAGCTGCATTGCTGTATGAACTCATGATCCAACATACGGGCTGTCAGAATTAGGCCACTTGTGCTGTCTATATGAAAGTAGTCAGTGCTGTTAAAGGTATCCTGGACTATCTGATACTGCACTATTTTATTATTGTCAGAGTCAGCATCAGTAGCAACAACCTGTAACACAGGAGTCCCAATCAAGGATGCTTCAGACAAGGTAGCATTATAGGCTGACTGATCAAAAATTGGAGGATTGTCATTCACATCATTAATGATCAAGTCCACAGTGACCTCAGCTCGCGCACCAGTGAGGGCATCACTGGCTCGTACGGTCAACTTGAAAAGAGAATTTATTTCATAGTCCAGTGCACTGATGACGCTGAGAACTCCGGTATCAAAGTCAATATTAAACTGGTTGTAGGGATCTCCATCAACAATTATATAAATGATACCCTGGCCTTCTGGACTGGTTGCGTTTATGCTTAATATGGGAGTGTGCATTTCCACATCTTCGTTCACGGAAGCTGTATAGAATGGTTTGTCAAAGACAGGCATTGCTTTGTTAACGATAGTGATGGGGAGCTCTACTGACGCAGACAACGAGGGGTCACCACCATCTTTTGCAACGACGACCGCCAAATACTCTATATTGGATAAATCAGAATTGAAGGCTTCTTTTAAAATAACACTGCCAGACACCCTGTCGATTTCAAAATGTCCATAGTCTTCCTTCAGAAGATATGACACTTCACCATTTTCATCCTTATCTTTATCAATAGCCGTCACTCGATATATCAGGGTACCAGGCTCAGCATCGACCTGCACAGCAGCGTAGTAGGGAAGCCCTACGAACACCGGAGCGTTGTCATTGATGTCCTCAATGTGAACTCTGACCACTACTCGAGCAACACGAAGGTGATCTAGTTCGCGGCTTGCTTCCACCACCAACTCGTACAGCTCTTGCTCTTCTCGGTCAAAGGGGATGCCAGTGGTCTGAATGACTCCTGAGGTAGATTTGATTTTAAATTTGTTGCCTGGGTTTAGTATACTATATTTCAAGGGCTCATTGAGGCGGTTACCAACAGCATTCACCACAGCGATCTTTGTGATATTCGTAGTGTTTTCTGAGATGGAGGTGGAATAAAAGTTTTGTGTGAAGTGGAGTCCACTATCCATGGCTTCCTTTACCATTATTGTCACCATAGCAGTGCTGTAAAATTTCCCATCAGATACTCTTACTATTAGCATATAATGGTCTTTGGAAAGGCTATTGTTTTTTATGGTAAGCACTCCTGTACTTGAATCAATTAAAAAATGGTCCATACTGCCTTCAATCAGACTGTATGTTAATTCAGGAGGAATCTCTGAATCTGGATCTGTAGCCTTGACTTTAAGAACTTCAACACCAGCATATGTGGGCAGAAGCAAGACAGTCTCAAATATGGGCTGGCTGAAGACTGGTGGGTTGTCATTGACATCTGTTACCTCAATGGTCACTTCAACTGGGCTCTCTGCTGTAAGCTGGGGATTTCCACTGTCTCTAACGTGGACATGAAAGTGGAAGTGGGCTATTGTTTCATGATCCAAATTTGCAATTGTTCTGATTGCACCTGTGCTGGAATCAACCGTGAAATACTTTTTTGCTGTAGATTCAACAATCTGGTAGACAAGCAAAGCATTCTGATTACTGTCAGCATCAGTGGCTCGTATCACGAGGGGACTGTTACTTGCACTTCGGACTATGCTATTTACAGGAGCAGCTTCACTTATGCTGCCCGAATACTGAGAGAAGAGAAAAACTGGTGCGTTATCATTCTCATCAACAATCTGAATGTTCACAGTGGCATTTGATGCCATGCCTGCCATATTTGTTGCCTGTACAATGAGCTGATAGAAGGAAGCACGTTCATAATCAAGGTTTTTTTGACTGGTGATGACTCCAGAGTACGGATTTATAGCAAAGACTCCATCCACGTTCCCATCTTTAACCTCATAAACTAACGTGGACTGGCTGATTGCAGAAATTAAGATGACAGAAGTACCAACATCCACATTTTCATTAACCTCTGCTTGGTATTCTTTGAGAGTGAACTTCGGGTGGGAGTTATCTGCCATTGTCACAGATATCCGCACAATTGCTGTTGCAGACAGTGGTGGAGAACCTTGATCAGTCACTTTGACTGACAAAACAAACTGTCCCATTGTGGTTAAATCTGGCTCCTTCAGTAATGTAATGATCCCTAAAACTGGTTCGATCTTGAATGTGTTTCCAGTATTTCCTAAAACAGAAACATTTTATGCAAATTAGAAGTGAACTACAATTCGCTTAAAGCATAGTTTAAAATGGGGTGAAATTACCTGTAATCTGTCAAAGTCAGGTATTGAAAAAACAAAATAATTAGAGGGTCTTTCATCTTTCCTCTTTGAAAATCAGGCCACCTCAGAAGTTAGTATAGGTGTTCAAAACCTATCAACATCAGAAACTCAGGTACTGCTACCTACCTCTTGACTCTGAGTGTCAACATTTGAACAAACGGCACAAATAGACTATTCGCAGAACAGAAGCGGGAAAGAGCATCAATTATGGAAATTAGTCAAATGCATGTATACCTAAATCACAGAAATTAGATCAGAGGCTAATAAGCCAATTACATTACAAAGGAGCAACAGCTCTACCCATTAACTGAAGGGAATATTAAGCAACTAGAGAGAAGATTACAGTAGCTCAACTCTCAAAGAACTGGATATAAAAGGTTAAAGCGGCATTTAGAAAATTAAACAGAACAAATAGCTTAGAAAAGAGATAACTATCTTGTGCACAAAGGTTATCATATGATCTCTGGGAAGGAGGAATCTAGATGAACAAAACTTAGCAGACAATGTTATGAAATTTTCATTAGAAAATGCAGGCAGGGAGATCACTGCCTTCATAAATGTGAAGAGAGTAAATTTATATCAAGTACATTCTTTTCTTTCTCTTTTTTAAGATATCTGTATTGCCAACCTCTTTGTTAGCAGACAGATGCAAAGCTTTGGTATTTATCCTTAACCTATACTTAGAGATCACCTTTGCTAGGCAATCCATAATTTGCTGATCCATTGTGTGCCTAGTAAAGGGCAGGATGCTATGTGTGTTATATGACAAAAAGGCTCTTTTTCTGAATTAGACTCTAAATACAAACAGCATGTACTAAGCTATGGAGATACCAGTCATTATAACCTGTTCCTGTTATCGTGGCAATTTATATTTCAAAATGTAGAACCGCTTCCAATCTACTGGATACTACTACTATAAATATTTCCTTAGGTAACTGTTAGTAAACAGATAGTCTTTACATGGGTATGTTTCAGGTGCTGTGCAAAGAGAAGTAAATATGAAAATTCTATCTGGGATAGAAATATATGGAATACTTGATGAAGTGAATTAATTAAATTATTTTGAAGATGTGATGCACTATCTCCTGTAAACTCTGGTGCCTAGAAGCTAATTTAAGGTACACACTATGGTCTGTTGTTCACTACTGGTCGTGGTTTTCCATTTATCCGCATCCTTTCAGCAGACTTTACTAGCTAAAACAAAAATCATGGCATTCACCGAGGAACTGAGATTCTGCCAGAGATACAAATTCTCATAAAGATCACAGTATCTGCCACATTTGCAGACGCTGCAAATGGTGCTGTGGTTATTTTGTCAGAGCTTGCTGATACGAATCAACTGCGGTCACTGATTGCCTCATGTAAGGCCAGAGCTGGTTCTTCTCCTTTAGGGATTTCTTATGAAATTATACAAGAATTAGTTACTTTTTTTTTAACGATTGCTCTGTTCACATGTAAGCTGATCTAAATATTTCCCCTGACTAAAGGGACTGTGTACAACGTGAGTCCTGCAGTCGGAATTAGTATCCTCAGCAGCTCAGATTTTATGGATCACAGAAAACTACAGCAACAGAAGACTGATTTTGATGCATTTAGGATTGGAACATCTGTGTATAATGGAACTGTGGCAGTGCACAGCTTTATAATAAATGCAAGTTTGAAGTGTGACACTGCAGTGAGAGCTTCTGATGAAAAAGAAACAGGCTGTAATGGAGTAGAAAGCCTCTAGAAAGAGAAAACAAATAAGCAGACAAAAGAAAGGGTGATCTAACAGCCAAAACATCCTTTCTAAGCATCTGATTTTCTGTTTGCATCATGTGCACTATTACCAGTGTATGGGAGACCACAGGCCTGGCATGTCAGGCTGCGCTTTGCATTGTGGTGGCACCTAGAGGTGCCTGCCTTGCAGCCCAGCCTAACAACTGCTGTAGAAACACAGCAGAAAATTCTCAAACTTCTAGTACTCCAGAAGACAAGATACATCAATAAATTATACAAATTGCAAGGGAGGAGGGGAGAAACGAGCATAACAAAACCAGTGAGATAGATAGGCCTTTAGACGTGTAGATGATATAATGACTGCAACACTGAACCAACAAACCCTTGGGCATGCACATGGCAAAGAGCTGAGTATGGCCAGGCATTAGCGAAGGCCTTCACCAGGCTGACGGCTCCACTCCAGTACAAGGAGCTGTTTATGATGCACCAAGCTATTAGTAAGTGATTTGTTAACCTCTGTGTGTAGTGAAACTGAGGTTTACTATGTTCTTCTTCCAGTAGTAACATTTATCTTGAATATATCTTAGGTTTCCCTCTGTTTCTCTGTTCTTTTCCCCAACCCTTGCTTTTAGGCTTTTATATTTAGGTAGAGGAGTGAGAAGTAAAAAGAGATGCAATTGTGATTACAGTTTTACATCAGTTCAAGGATAGAGCAGGCATCTAGAAAATACCAAGAACACTCTTGAACTACGTTTTTCCAGGCACCCAAACTCATCTATTTAGTGCTTGCTCTGAAAGGAACAGTGCTGCCCTGCCTTGGCACATATAAAAATTTCCCTGATCTTAGATAAAGGCCATTGGAGTAGCTAGGGAAAGCTACATTTGCTTGTCTGTGTGGCAAGGATAATGCAAATTTCCCATAATCTTGCTCACATACTCACAGAAAAATGCCTTTGCTGATATATGATAAATTTAAATATACACAGCCTTCTAGCAAAACCAATTGTATTCTGGTATCACTGTCCCTTCCCTTAGGCTTCTATTGACATGCTGTAATTCTAAGAGACATTGTGCTGCTAAACTACTACTGCTCTGCTGGCAGAAGTTTTTAGCCTAAACCTGATGTCAGTCCCCATGTTCCTTTGATTATAATATCAGCAAAGATACCAGCTCACACCAACTGTCAGGGTATGCATTTATGAAGAATCTTGTATGTACTAGACTGAAGCCACTGACCCGAGAACAGTCACTGCTAATAGCTTTTGGCACCCAACTTCTGTGATGGATGGTAAAGGGCTCAGGATCCATCTAGTGAATATGAAAGCAACCCTCTTCTGAAAGATTTTTGTATTGTATAGCTTAAAAATGAAAAGCAGCTAACAAGAACACGCCATCGTTGTTCAGCTCTATAGAGGAAGGTAGGAGAAAGAAGCTGTCGTGTTAATAAGGGTAAAAGCACTTTCCAGTTTATTGTGAATCATTTCACTGTATATTCGCAGCCTCTGAACTGACCTGCTTCAATAGTGTAGATAAGCTCTGCGTTTTCTCCTTTATCTTTGTCCAAAGCTGTGACCTGCAAGACTGCTGATCCAATAGCTGCTGATTCAAATACTGAGGCTTCATACAGTGGACTGGTGAAGTACGGGCTGTGATCGTTGGAATCCTCCACATTTATGATGACTCTGGCCAGGTTTCTTCTATAAGGGAATTCTTGATCTCGGACCTACAGAAAAAGTGCATAATACACATACCAATCTGTTACATATACACACTGCTCGTTACGCTGGGACTGATGCCCTGCTCGACTCCTGCTTGCTGGAGGGCACAGGGGCTCCCTGGGCTCCCTCCACCTAAAGCTGACCCTGTTTCCACTGGGCTCTTAAGTGATTAAAGAAAATAGCAGACTACAGTGATAGGATTTTTTTCCACTAACTTCCACTTCATAATATACAACCTTCATTTGAAAACAGAGTAACTAATGTTATGCAATTTAGGCACATTGACTTAAAAAAAATAAAAAAGGTAATCTTTTTTTTTGCATACTTAAGCATTTGGAAAGTAGCTGAAAGCTGTTTTGTGTAGCAATAGCTTATGTCCTGAAATACGTCTGTAAAAGTAAACTATAAATCAGACTTCTGTTTGCAAGGGCTGTAGCATTCTGTATGACAAGAAAGTAGTTATCTTCCTGTGAATAACTTCTCAAATAATTTCCAGTCTCTCTCTTAAAAAATTCTAAAAGTTATCTTGTATGAAATGACCAGGTGCCAAGAGATTATATAATTTATTACTTGCTCTCCTTTGAACTGGCAAATCATTTCATACTAAGTACAATATATTCACAGTGAGTTTCATCAAAAATGAAATAAAAATTATAAAATAAATGCACAGCAGTGCAGGTAAGATGAAATCAATGACTGCTTACTGCAGTGGAAGTCCTAAGGCACACACGCACCTGAAACAGCAATGACTGTTCTGACCCAAATGAACACTGTGTTCTTACCATGACAGTAAGGATGTGTTTGTCCTGAGCTTCATGGTCCAGCCTCTCAGCAGTGTAGAGCACCCCAGTGTTGGGATCAATTCTGAATTTTCTCATGCTGACTCCATCGATGCTGCTGTGAATAGTGAAGCTCAACTTATTTTTCTCATCTCTGTCTATAGCTTCAATTTGCAGAATTTCAGTATCCGGGAGAATGTCCCTCTGAAATGTGACATCATAACTTGCCTGAGAGAATTCTGGGCCATTATCATTGTTATCCAGCACTTTGATAAGAACCTGTAGTTAATGAAAGAAAACCATTTGAAGTCATTAAGTCTAGTCAGATTACTAAATAGGCACCTAGAGAAATATAACTAACTCACTTCAGATGACTACATGATGTTATGTTGCTGTATGGTGGGACTGAGAAATGTTGAGAAATACATACTGAGAAATGTCATTTAAATAGTTACTATTTAATAGTTTACTATTTAATACTATTTAATAGTTACTGTTAAATAGTTACTATTCACTTCTAAAGAAATAGCAAATATATTGGAAGCAAAATTCTCCCTAATTAAAAGACCTACTCAGGAAATATGGCAGAGAAGTACATATAGGAGATTTGCAGTATCCATAGATTGGAAAATATATCTACAATAATAACAGGGAAGATTCAACACTTCAATCACTCTGTTGGTTACAAGGGATTTCTACAGCTGCTATGGGATTTCCTTTTCCCTACTCTGTTAGCAAAGCTAAAAAACAAGCCTCTTAATGTCACCTAAATCCACTTCTTATACTACCGAGTCAGTTAAATCCTGAGTTGTGTTTTCTTTCTAAGGAGCAGAAAAATACAGCTGTACCTATACTACAATATTGCACAAGCAGACATTGGCCTCAGAGAGAAAATAAAGTGTAGGTTTCCGTGATACTTGGAAGGGTTTGCAGGACGCATTACCAGCAGGAACACGAGCACTTGTAAGCAGCCGTCATAATGAACTAGCCTGGGAAATGTTTAAGAGACAGCTGAAATAAAATGCTCTGTGAGTTAAATGGCATTGGACTTCAACTGTGCTTTCCATACAATTTCATTTTCACCAGATTATGGTACGCCAGAGTGAAGCAGGGAGAAATCTATATTAGGTTATGCTTTAGTCTTGGATAGATAGCAATAAAATTGGAAGGAAATATACATGGCTGGGCCTATAATAATGATGAAATTCACGTAACTTTTTATATTTTTACTGTTGATATACAATATATCACGGTCTGTTTCTGACCCGAGAGAAGAAAATCACACACACACATCTGAAAAAGATGTGAAGAAATGTGTTTCCATATATGAAAAAAAAAGGCCCGGGGGAAAAAAATAGAGGATTCTACTTCTGCTCTGGTGCTCCATGGAGGCAGGGATCAACAATTAAATATTTTGCTAGTGTAAGAAAGAGACACTGAAGCAATCTGAACTAGGGATAATCTGATTAGGAGCATTTAGCCCTTAATGGCATATTCTCTAGCTCCTACCACTCTAACACGGCCAGATTACTGCTGCATTGCTAATGCAGACAAGAAAACATGTTTTATTTTACTTTTTACTTAACCAGTGAACAAAAACTTGCATCTTTTTAGATAGTCTAACAGAAAAGTAAGAAGTTTTCCAGTGGATGTGATTAAAACCACTGAGTTTATTGGGTTCTACTGATGAGTTTTGCACCAAAGTCAACCTTGAACAAAGCAAGCTGCCCCCCAGGGCCCCTTCACTTCTGCCTTCCCTGGACTGCATCAATAAACTGAGGCCTGGGGAAAGCCATGAGGCTACAGCAAATACAGTGATGCTTCATGAAGCACTGAAAAAGGGATGATGCCCCAACGTGTTACCAATAGGGAACATGATACTGTCTGGGGAGCTGGAGTGTTGGAGAGGGGAAAGATAAAAAGCGAAGCTCCTCATTAGCCATAGTCCTTCAACTTACTGGGAAAATATGCACTCAAATTATTTTGGTTGTTTTAAGAACAGAACATGTTCCCCCCACTTTCATTTCCTCTGCGCTGTGAAGCTGTTCAAGCGCCTGTTCGAGTCGCAGGCACCCTTCCTCCCTAGGGACGACTGTAGCTGAGTGATTTGTCAAGTGATCCATATTGTAACACATATTATTTATTACATACTCTGCATTTCAAAAGGCACTTCCATCTGGAGATCTTACAATGGTTTAGAAACGCTAACAAATGGAGGTGATACTACTGCTTCAGAATTTCTTGTATTAAAACAGAGTTTGAGGTATTTTTCAGTTTTGTCAGCTGCTTCTCAAAACGCTCATGAGTCAACTGTGATTTTAAAGCTACAGTCTCTCCTCTGCCGAGGGAAGCATCTTCCCTCATGACAAAAGAAAGTCACACGATATAGGGAATACTGATTACAGAAAGAGTTCTGTCAAACCCACAAACTGTGGAAAAGGAGGAAATGTAACTCTGTTCTTCAAAATTTAGGAGTCTTAGGAGATACTTGAAACACTATCAAGTAAAACAAAACCAAACTTAAGAGATATATTTTAAGTAATGCTATTCTATTCCCCTTAATCCTGAGAGTATTTTGGAGGAGCAAGTGCCTGTTATCCTCATCCGTTTTACTGGAAAGCAGTACCTGGCTGCAAGGTTAATGACTTATCAAAACTGCATGAAAAGTAGAGTAGTAAAGCTGGGAAAGAAGCTCAGAACATGGTATTCTTAGGTCTGTTCTTAAACCATCCCCCTTTTGTTGGGTCATCTCAAAATGCCACCCCCCTCTGTAGCAATTTCCTGCTCAGCACGATGTCTTCGAGCAAGATGCAAAGTAAAAAGAGGGGAAGACTTTTCCTCTAATGAAGGACAAATGCAGCACTGATACCAGCACCAGCCTCATAGAAAACCTGATCCTGCAAACATATGGTAAGTTAAGTAAGTGAGCTGAACTGCAGTAGATGGCTAATACGAGGAAAGCTACTCAAATTCAGTAAATGGTTGCCAAAGTTGGACATAAAACCCTAGTGCCACTGGCAAACTTCCCATGGACTTCCAGAGGGTCAGCATTCTGCTCCTTGCAGCCATGTGCCTTAACCAACCCTTCAAAGAAGCCATCCAGGACCCAGTGCAGTTCTGCTGCAGGGATTCGAAGCTCACAAGTATATGTTTATTTTCATACTTTTTTCATATCTATTTCCAAACCAAAAGATATGTTAAGAACCAGCAGTTGCACAAGTATCATTCATTACCGTGCAGGCGACTGGGGTCTTATGCTGCGGCAATACCAGTCGTGCAAAATCCAAGACAGGTTGTAAAAGTTTTCCAACACGTCTCCAAAAGGTGACAGATGGAAACGTTTACTGTTTGCTTGCTGTCAAGCAGGGACTCCTCTTTGCTGAGGACCATGCAAGGTTACCGACTAAAGCACTTTTCATGGACAAACATTAGCTGGACGTCTTTTCACCATGCTCATAAAGCAAACTTGCAGCACGGCAGTCTGCCCAGTTACCCTTGAAAGCTCCTATCTTTCCCAATACGTCGCAGCCTGCAGAAAGGCAGACTTGCCTATTCCTGCTTCTATTGTGCACTGCCTAATTTACAGTCCGAACAAGCATCTCGCTATAAAAGATTTGCTTCTCTCTGCTCACTTCCTATTTCCCACAGTTAAAGCAACTTTCAAATAAAGGATTCCTGGGCCCCCAAGCTTACAAATTAGGCAAAGTAACACTCAGGGCACTACCAAAGACTTTGTATTCAAAATGGCAAGTGAAAGGCCTGGAAAAATACAATCAAAGCAGCCCAAAATCTAATGCAGGAAGTGTCTCCAAAGCTGTTTTTAATGTTGCCCATCACAAATACCTTTGGTTTAGGCACGAATGTATTTGAGTGAAAACTGGATAAACGCCAGGAGCTGCTTTAGAGGCATTAGAAGCTGGAAGAATCAACTTGGCTAATTGCTTGGTCTGGGCACAGTGTTGTAGTACAACCTATTAAATGCCTGAATTGCTTAAACTCAGGTTACGCTTTTGTACTGGTTTTGAAAACCTATTTTGATTTAATATTGCTTTCAGCAGTGTTACCACACAGCTTTATTTGCTACATCCTGACAAGTTTTTCTTCCTCCAACCGCAAACTTACCATAAAAATGCAAACAGTTTCTCTATCAGCCTCAGTGCCCTGTTATTTATACTTTATTTATTCTTTAACATGTTCCTGTGTTATGTTAAAATAGGGGGGAAAACACTATTTCACAGGTAAGGCATTGCTGAGATTGCTGGGTGCATCAGAAATAAAATTGAGGAATGGGCTGCTTCTAGTCTGGAGGAAATAGGGCACTGAGCAGCAGTGAAAAACTGCAATACAACTTGTTGTCAGTCCGGGCAGCAGCCACAGCCCTTCCATGAGCAGCTGAGGGCTTCTGGCTTCAGAGTAGTCACTTATTTGGGTGCAGCCGATGTCTCGGCCATGCCTCTGGATGTTCCCAATTTCTAGGGAGGTGCAGGCAAAAGGGCAGACTCTGCTGAGGGCTGTTGTTTGCTTAACAGCTGGAAGCTGTGGTCAAGGACTCAGTTTCACAGTAAATATGCTTCCAATGTGCACAAGGTTTCTGGTGTCTGATCTCCAGTCTGACCATGGTCCTTTAAGGAGCCTACTCAGTTAACCAGTGTGTTTAATCGACTCTTCATTTTTAAGAAATAATCTTCTAAAGAAAACACATTCTCTGAAAAGTGAAACCCGGTAACTGAGACTGAGCTCTATATCCTGAAATCTGTTGCTAAAGGTCAAACCTGAGCAGAAAGAATAAATAAAACCCCTCAGCTTTCTGCAAAGAGAGAGAAAAGGGCAATGGATGGTAATTTCTCCCTTCCACACTTTCAGCCTGAAGACTATTTGGCTCTGGTTGAAAGTACTGCGAGGGACGAGGCATTGATCTCAAATACCTTTCACAGGAACGTGAACGTTCCCAGGTGACTGTTCAAAGCAGTGAATCTCCTCTGTCCAGAAAGTGCAAGATGCCTTTGTAACAACTTAAACTGAAGCACTTTTTGCCTTCTAGTTTGGACCCATCAGCGTTCTCATTTTAAATGAATCTGTTTGTAATGATGAGGCACTACAGGAAGACAAGAAAATGAGCAATAGGGCTAACTTCCTTTTCCATATAATATTAGGACTCCAGGAGTGGGCTGCTCAATTGTCAGCTAGTGCAAGATTCACAATAAAATGAAAAATATTCCCACTTGGATGACTCTTTTCTACTCTATTGTACTTTTTTGAGTATTTTAGCAAAGCTCAACAGCAGGCAGGGCAAAGAAATAAATGCTGCTCCTACGCTGAACTTGGACATAAAGCACCTGAGTTGCACAGTGCGGAGAAAGGAGCCTGCGTTACAAACGCGGCTCATGACCAAGAGAATCACTAATATCACTTGGTCAAAGTTAGTCAATGCTGGATCAGGAATGGGAGACTGGATACCACTGCATCAGTTTCTCCCTGGGGGGTCCTTTGCTCTGCTCCAGCAAGGCCAGAAGACCCTTTCTCACCCTGGACGATGTTGTGGCCAGCAGGCAGGAGCAGAGGGTTCTGCACCGCGCTGCTGTCGCGGCTTATTCCTGACTATAAGTTAATCAGCCGGGACAGGTGCTTCACACTCTAAAGTATAAATCAAACGAATCAACATTTCACCTTTATTCCCCAGTCCACCCTTGCCCATCACCAGCATCCGGGCCGGACCAAGGCTGGGGGGAGGCTCAGGGGTGGCAGGGCTACTGCTCCCAGCTCCCACTCGGAGGCTGCGTTCACGTTGCAAATGGGCAATCCCTTCCTGATCCCAAACAGACTTTCAGTTACTAATGAAACTAATGAAGCTGGAGATGGTTTTAAAATGCCTTTTTTTTTTTTTGCTAATCCAACAGATGTAACCTTTAAATCAATACTATTTATATGAGTAGGGAAGCCTCTGTGCACTGAGGCTTGGAGGAAGTGAAGGTTTATAAGAATTTCAGGCATGCAGCAGCACTGCTGGAAAAAACTTATACAAGTCCTTGCTAGTGCTCATATTACTGAAACAAAAATCTTTGGCATTTTACATTGTATTTTACCACCTCCAACTGTGTGACAGACCAAAGGCCAGAAGAAAGATAAAGGGAAAACAGGTGTGGTGGAATAAAGAAGAAAGACGGCTCCATTTGGCATGATGTAGATCAGCTGCTCCAAAAGAAAGCAAGCCACTTTGGGGCCTTTCTATTATTGCATTTTTATACAGGTGGATGATTTTATAGTTTTGCTTTCTCCCCACTTCCACTTCTACCATATCTTTTTTTTGCAGCTATAGTTAAAACTGCAGGTGGTACTATGCACATGAGGCAGAATACTTACAATATCCTTTTACAAGAACTCAGAACAAGGTCATTGGTAGATGGTTTTTTTGAAACTTCTTACGACATATTTTACTCAACGTATCAGTTTGCTTTTTAGTATTGTTCTAAAAGGAAATGACTATGAATATGACCGTGGAAAGCACTGAAATACAGTTCAAAAATATACAACTATTTTGTAACAGGCAGGGATAACTAGGCTATCACTCTGGAAAGTTTGAGACCATGATCATTCTTGAGCTCTCTGCTGTGAAAAGTTAGAGAAACACATTCTCAGATGTCATTCTGGCCACAATTAAATCTTTAAATGGCATCTGCAGAGAGAGCAGGAAGAGGAGGACAGAAGGGTTTATCCCCATCGCTGATTATCTAAGGATATATATATACTATTAGAATGTTCAATGAAAGTCTTACATTTTAAATAGGTCACATCACTGTTACAAAGAATGCTTAGGCTGCTTTTAGAAAGCAACAGCTTTATTCAAATATGCTTTTACCATATGCTTTAATTAAAAATGTAGAGTTTTTATCAGAAAAAGTTCTGACTTTTCAAACTCTGCCTGTTTGACTGGCAGAGGGAATAGTTTATTAAATCATAAGCAGCAAGTACTAGAAACATAATTTCCAGGAGACTAGACATTACTTGTGTTCAGCGAATCAAAGTTCTCTGTGCTTTTTAATATTTGTTTTGCTGAAATGTTTGCGAGAAAAAAATGCCATGCAAGAGACTCAAGTCCCACTTCTGAAATGCAGACTGACAGTGTTGCCAAGATTTAAAGAAGAGCAAACACAGAAGTACTCAAGGGTTGAAGAAAACGCCT